TACACATACACATACACATACACATACACATACACATACACATACACATACACATACACATACACATACACATACACATACACATACACATACACATACACATACACATACACATACACATACACATACACATACACATACACATACACATACACATACACATACACATACACATACACATACACATACACATACACATACACATACACATACACATACACATACACATACACATACACATACACATACACATACACATACACATACACATACACATACACATACACATACACATACACATACACATACACATACACATACACATACACATACACATACACATACACACATACACATACACATACACATACACATACACATACACATACACATACACATACACATACACATACACATACACATACACATACACATACACATACACATACACATACACATACACATACACATACACATACACATACACATACACATACACATACACATACACATACACATACACATACACATACACATACACATACACATACACATACACATACACATACACATACACATACACATACACATACACATACACATACACATACACATACACATACACATACACATACACATACACATACACATACACATACACATACACATACACATACACATACACATACACATACACATACACATACACATACACATACACATACACATACACATACACATACACATACACATACACATACACATACACATACACATACACATACACATACACATACACATACACATACACATACACATACACATACACATACACATACACATACACATACACATACACAGACACATACACAGACACATACACATACACACACACCTATACGTACTTAAGCTACGGAACGGCGACCTCAACGTCACATTATCGATCCGAGGACCACTAGAAATACCGCTATTATATTATTTTCTTCAGTTGAACCCAACTCTAGGACACGTATATAATGATGAAATCAGGTTATAATTGTTAAAAAATAATTTTTAAAATGTTAATTCTGTTTGAATTGTGGTTAAGAGGACTCCAATTTGTCATTGCGTTTCGAGGACTTACCTCACGAGGACTCTCCAATATAAAGCATAGGCAGAATTAAAATCACAGCTTCTGTCTGTGTTAAAACTTACGTTACGAGGACTATAATACGCAAATGTGTATATAATATATTTATATACATACACACTATCGAAGAAATAAAACTTTCTTTACGAGGACTTATATTATCAAGTAAGGTGAGTTCTAAAACTCTATTTGAAAATTATAGGAGTCCTCGGACCGCAATAATTGTATGTGTAAGCATTGTATGTGTTTTTTATTTACATTATCATGTCGTATCTGAAATTTAACCAATTTATTATTTTTAATTTCAATTATAAAATTGACTCTGATTGATTTCCATATTATGGAGTAGGTATCTATTATTTGTGATATATTATTTACAAGATTAAATAAACAAGAAGAAAAGTAGTATACAGGGAGGGCCAACGGTAGCGTCTCGGTCTGTAAAGCCAAAACTATTTTTTTCAATCTATTTTGACAGTCAAATGTATATTAAGAAAAGGAAACAATTTAAAAATAATTTTTTTTTCGGGGTTGGGTTGGCTCAGTGGTTAGAGTCATGACTTTGAGATCGGAAGGTCTCAGGTTCGAATCCTACGGTTGGCCGGAATTTTTTCATTTAATTTAATGATTTAAAATTAATTCTGATGCCTTGGTAGGATTCCCCACTCGACAATTCACTGTTGGGTTCTAATTAACAGTGTTGTTCCTAAAGTGGCGCTGGGAAACAGTAACAAAGCCTACACAGAACACGTGGCTAATGGCCGTAGTAGTCGACGCCGATGACACCAAATTAAAAAATAATAATAATAATAATTTTAATTATACCGGTTTCTCGAAGAAAGTGATGCATATCAAAGTTAGGTTTTTTTTTGAATTGCCCTCGCTTTTTTAATTATGAAAATACCAATTAATATAAGATTATACATCATATTTCACACGCTATAACTAGTTTATATATGAAAAACGCATTGATTATAATGACCGTGTTCTGCAAAAAGAACAATTGAAAACTATTTTTTTACAGTAGAAGGTTTTTGATATTAGTCAACAGTTTATGCCGATGGACTTATTTTTTCAATTTGAAACAAATCTGTACAGGGTGAGTCAACACTCAAATATATAATTTTCCCTTTTTTTCATGTTTTATATCCCTATTTAAAATTAAAATTTTATTTGAGTGAAGCATTCCCTATGCCTGAAGGTAATAATTTTTGGGATATTTTTAAATTTAAATGATAATTCACAAAATACTTTAATTTTAACTGGTCACTGTTTAACATGAAATAGAATGTTTGTTAACTGGTAATTAGGAATTTACCAAGCTATAATTTTTATCGACTGAATAAGTTTTTGACAGTGCGACTTTTATATTCATTAAAAAAATAAATAAAAATAGAAACCAAAAAATTCACAGAATACCTACTTTATTCTAAGTTTAATAAGTGTTATTTGGAAAGATTTTATTTCATTAGAAAAGTTTTTTAAAGTAGCCTTCAATATTATTTATGGAGATCTAAAGGTGGTTTTTAAAAATTTTACTCACATTTCTAAGCATTTCTTAAGTAGCACTTGAAATACTTCTCTTATTCCCGACTAAAGGTCATATTAAAAAACTGGCTAGATGTTTTTAAAAAGAAACATCGCAACACCAATGACGTTAGTAATAACAAACTGTCAGTTTTTTGGGGATTTCAAAGTCAACTTAAAAATAGGATAAACTTGGAATAGATATTGTCAAATTTTTTTCTGTCTATAATAAATAACAGCTGAATTCTAACTACAAATTAACAAACGTTTGTTTCCTGTGGACCAGTGGCCAGTTAAAATTAAATTACTTTATTATATTTGTTGTCATTTAAATTTTAAAATTCCCCAAAATTATTTAGAAATACTTAACTCAAATGAAATTTTAATGAAGGTACCTTTAAAAGGTTTTTATAAAATATAGGGTGGTCAATTAATAAAAAAAATAAAACATGATGTATTCAAGTTTTGACTCGAGTACAGATTTATTTCGAAATAAAAAAATAGTACATCGGCATAAAATGTTTTCTAATATTAAAACCGTTTTACGCAAAACAATTTTTGATTGTTTCTTTAGCACTATACAGGTTATTGAAATCAATACGATTTTCATATAAAGCAGGTTATAGTGTGTGAAATGCCTGTTTAATACCGTTCTATTTAGTACTGTTATAATCAATAGGTCTTAAGTAAATAGAAACAAGTAGTCACTGGTTAATATTTAGTTAGGTTAGGTTATTTTGTAATCAATGTCGATAAAAAATATTAAAGTAGCTCATACGAAAGTATTGTATATATCTACCAAAACTTACCGTTGTGTCTAGTCATTCCTAATAGAGAAGTACCTAGTTCTTTTGTATTACAATGTAATCGTACTCCAACATCAAAACTAGCCATTTTTTACTTACAATTTGTCAGCGTTCCTCACAGGGCTTATTGGTATAGTAGAAACTTTTTTCGGTGAGAAAATCTAAGCCCGAATCAGACAAAGATGTTTCAATCTCTTGTTTTCCCCGGTAATTTTTAATTATTAAACAATTTCCAAATCTTCTCATTGCGCGCTCTATTTCCAGCGTCGACCATGTTCTTGCAAATGGATGTTTAACCCAAATACCGTAAAACCACCATCTGTTATACCCAATCAGATTAAAGGATATTTTTAGGATCGTACCTCGAATATAATTAATTAATATTATTATTTATTACCTATTTAATAACAATAATGTCTAAATTAAATTATTTTTTGAACATTTCGAAGAAAATCTTCCATAATTTGGTTTTCTTAGTAATATTTATGCATTACCAAGAAATTACTGATATCATTGTATATAATGATAATAAAACTCAGGTACAAATCTCATTAAACAGATAATGACACTATCAGAAGCGTAGCGTGCTTCAGCGGGGCCCTGTATAAAAATTTGTTTGGGGGCCCTTAGGAAGGGTAAAGATTTCTCACAAAAGAAAAGAAAATGTTTGCATAAAATTAAAAGAAATATTTATTCATTATTGTCACTTTTTCTAAAATTTTTACAAGCAATTCAAATTAAATATACACTCTCCTTGCCTTTTTTTCGGCAAACTGATTTATTAAATCATTTATAGCTGATGATGACTTTAGTTTTTCTAAAGTTTCTGCCTCTATGGACAATAGTGACTGATCTGATAGGCGTTCCTGTCCCATCGATTCTAAGGTAATTTTTTATCAGTTTTCATTTTGAAAAACTTCTTTCAGCAGTTGCGGTTGTAACTGGAAGGGTTAAGAATAATTTTTGCTTACGCACGTTGGGGGCCCCCGTGGCGCGGGAGGCCCGTAAAATTGATACGGCAGATACGGCGGTAGCTACGCCCCTGGACACTATAAAATACGACTCCGCACCTGTACTGAAGCGAAAATTTTCTTATCTGTGTATTGAGTTATGGTTTCAGATAATTAGGTAAACAAACCCTCTTTTAATGACTGTCACCGAATCTCACCGAAATAAGTTTCTACCATAAATTTGAATTGATTTAAAGGTAGAACTTTGGTCAGTCGAAGGAAGTAGATAATATAAAAACAAATCATATGAGTAAAAATTTTATAAAGAATAATAAAGCAACAAAAAGAAGGAAATGAAAAAGTACTCTAAACAAAATTAAAAGACATTCAATTTAAATTAGACAAAAATATGACTGTCAAAAATGCATAAATAGGCAAACAAGAATTTTCATGCTGCAACAAAAAAATAATGAAATAAATCATCCAGAGTTTGTACGACTCTCAACAATAGTTGAATCAGGCTTCTCCGTCCGACAAATTATTGATGACCAATTTCAATTATTTCAAAATAGGTATTATAACAAATATTTATTTATTTATTTTTATTTTATGATAAAGAAAATCTTTCACATTTCGCCAGTTTCTTGAACTCATCACTTCTTTATTATCAGACAGAAATGTTTCAATCTCCCGTTTTCCCGGTAATTTTTTAATTATTAAATAATTTCCAAATCTTTTCATTGTGCGCTCTATTTCCAGAGTTGACCATGTTCTTCTTGCAAATGAATGTTTGACCTGAACATTACAGTTTCTTATATTTTCTTTTATTTTTTTGTCCTTTCTTATTTTTTTATCCTTTAATTGGGTTCCGCCTGCACTGATATTTACAATATTTTTTTCTGGATTACTTGGCATTTTTTGTTTATTATTTTCCTTATTGTTATCCATGTTTTCTTCTTGGATATCATTTATGTATTGGCTATCATTTTCGTCTTCTTCTGACATTTCATTTATCTCATCTACAGTAATATCATCTAAATTTCTACCTACCATATTATTCATATTTCCTCTCTCCATGTTAAGCAAAATTTTACTAATTTTTGCTAATTGGACCGTTTCATCGGCTAGACGATAATACTACCTATGGACTCTTATGTCATGGCCCATGAACGTCGCTAAAGAATCTAATTCATTTTCTTTTAAATTTAACAGTTGAACAGCAGTTGCAACATGCTTTCTTAATTTCGTGGACGTTATTGTTTCGGGATGAGCGCATCCTGCTACCTGGGCAAACTTGCTTAATAGGTTATAGGCTCTATAATAGCCACATGTATGGCGTAAAGACGGAAATAGATATGGATTTAATAAGTCGACACCGCAGGTTTCTCTCATATTATTTAGTACGTCAATCTGATGTTTTATTTCTTCAGTAAGAAGGACTGGTACACCACGACCTCTTTTTCCTTTGATTACTATTCTTGTTAACGATTCAGCCAACTTTCTTTCTGTGTCACTTAGAATTTTAAAGGTATCTGATTCAGGGTCACCAGCTTTTGCCTTTAAATAATCTTCTTTTGTCATATACTGAACTTCTCCTACTCTTCTACGGTTCAAAATAATAATCATCGCTAATGATAGTTCTGTAAGTTCTCTAAATGCCGTTATATCCGATTTAAGACTTAATATATCCAATAATTTTTTACTTTGACTTGACAAGTACTTGTGTAAAATTTGAATGTCCTTTGTTAGTGGAACGCGTTTAGCTTTATTCCACTTACGTTCTGATAGAGTACGTTGTGCATGACAAGTAACATCAACGGTCCATTTAGACTCTAAAACTTCCACGAAGGCATCCAATATTGGTATTGTTGACCTTAAAGTTTCATCTTCTAGGTAATCGCCCTTGAGTATCGAAACACATTTTTTAATTGTAAATCCAATTTTTAATGCTAAAGATGGAACTTGGAAAGCATTGGTTACATCATTATAACCTGCAATCTTACAAACAGCTTCTCTAAAAGTTTTGTAGCCGGATGGATTTAATAATTGTGACAGCTTTTGTAATTTTGGGTCAATTTCTTTTACTGCCAAAAGTAGGCGCCCTAATTCACGACTTCTGTCTATAATATTTCTATGATACCTAGTTTCATGGCCTAGGCGTCTAAATTCGGTTTGGGCAAATAAAAGAATTAACGGATCTTTACGGACAGCTTCGAAAATGTCGTCTGTATTCATTTTTGATAAAATGCAGTCTCTGAATCTTTGTGATGTGTTTGGTCCAATAGGTAACAATAAAGAGCTTATAGTTTGAACACCACGACTTTTAAATGTACTGGTTTCTCCCTGTAAGTTATGCCCAAAATTACATTTTTTCGTGTGTCGTGACAAGTACGATTTACTGAACATTTGATAACAATATGAACATGGTAAATAATCAGTGGCCGTTTTTAAATCTGACGGATTTATTCTCCTTTTAGGAACAATTGTTCCTTCTCCTTTAATTATAGTATCCTTATTCATGACAAAGGCGCCTTGGTTTTGCAAAGATTGAAGCATTTTTTTGCGTTCAATTGAATTTTTATCAAGAGCCTGTATTTTTGCGATTTCCAGTTCATCTGCATGACAATTATAGAAATGTCTAGGTAATTTCGCAAATTGTTTTTTACAGAATATGCAAAAAAAATTCTTATTCCACTTTCTTTTTTGTGAATTATCGGTAGCTGCTATAGCAAGTATCGGCATATCAAACACGCGTTCTTGGTCAATATTAGCAGTTTCTAATGACGTAAAAGTTTGTATTTCATGAGGATTCACAATAGAAAGGTGGCAGGAATTTTCAACATTTTTTGATATATTTTCAGATATTCTGTGTGGTTTTTCATGCACAGATTCATCTGTAAGCAAATTTTTAGCGTTAAAGAAACTGTTTTCTTTTTTCTTCTTTCGTATTTGTCTTAGTATATCGAAATTATCGGAATTATCGGAATCACTTGGTGCATATTCTGAATCCTCTTCAGCAAACACTTCTTCGTCTGAACCAACTCCTTCACTGTCAGTGACATTGGGTTTACGCTTTAGATATTTTCTCAAAGAATATTCTTCTGTGGATTTGCTTATTTGCTCACTGTACCTGTTTACATATACATCGGGTTCTGAAGAATATACGTTTGTTAATACTGTTAACGACTTTGGTTTTTCGATGAACAAAACATCTGACAATTGACTCGTTGGGCTTATAATTTCGGGACTATCTTTTGAGGATACGATAGTACTTTCAACTTGTTCAACTATTGGTATGCCTTTTAACTCACCAATAAATAAACTATTATCGTAATGATTTGCTGTTGAAAGTGATAACTGAGGAGCTTCATCGTTTTGATTATCATCCTTGATTGTAAATTGAAAATTTTGTGTGTCTACTGTTTGACAAATAGTTTGTTCAACTGTGGAAAGTTCTTTTAGCACGACTGAGTTATTGTGGTTATCAGTTGACATGTCATTACAAGTTGTGTTATCTGAAGAAACTAAAAAGAATATAAATTAGCTTCAGTTTGAGATACTTAACCACTCTTAAAAATCATACCTGTTTTCTCAGATAAGCAGAAACTGTCGCCAAGTGGCGCGTTACAAAATTTTCTCCATGTCCTAGGAACGTCTGTAAATAGAAATGATAAACTAATATAATGTATTTGAGAAAATAACGTTTTGTTATACATTTTATTATAGATTGATAACAATATAAACATCCAAATAATAAGCATACCTGTTGATCTGTCTGGTAAAAGGCTTTGCGATTCCTCAGTTTTATGCGTATTTCCTAATTTCCTAAAAATACATTTTCGTGTTTATGTTGTGTTATTTAAAAGTTCAAAAATGTTTTAAAATTAAAATACCAAGTTGGTATAAAACAGAAAAAAATAGAAACTCTATATTATTATGTATTTTGCAAAGCTTTTTAAAAAATAGCTTCTAAGAAATGTACTAAAAGTATTAGTTTCTTTCCAATTATTCAGTATATTATTTCAAAAAGTAGAGCTTTATTTAAATGAAATATAGGTTCTTGAGCAACAAATTTTGAGAAGATTTACTCATTTTAATAAAATTCTTACCGATCTTCTGTCTGTTGAACTTCAGCTTTATTTAATATTATTTGTACTTCTTCTTTGTTTGATGATTCTGTAAAAAAGGCAAGTTTTAACTAAATTTCTTAGAATAGATGATCGGCAAATAGATTTTTATATAAAAAAATTATGAAGTAAATTTTTAAAAAAGGTGTTATTGAAAAATGTATCGGAATAGGACTCTTCAAGTGGGAACTATGCCGCCAAAGTGTGAATACTAGGCAGTCAGAGTATGACGATTAGGCTGTTCAGGAGTCGGGACATCGAGATATATTATGTCGGTTTTAAATCGATTCACTCAATTTTGATTTATTTTAATTTAATTTATTTTAATTTATTTTAATTTATTTTAATTTATTTTAATTTATTTTAATTTATTTTAATTTATTTTAATTTATTTTAATTTATTTTAATTTATTTTAATTTATTTTAATTTATTTTAATTTATTTTAATTTATTTTAATTTATTTTAATTTATTTTAATTTATTTTAATTTATTTTAATTTATTTTAATTTATTTTAATTTATTTTAATTTATTTTAATTTATTTTAATTTATTTTAATTTATTTTAATTTATTTTAATTTATTTTAATTTATTTTAATTTATTTTAATTTATTTTAATTTATTTATTTTAATTTATTTTAATTTATTTTAATTTATTTTAATTTATTTTAATTTATTTTAATTTAATTTATTTTAATTTATTTTAATTTATTTTAATTTATTTATTTTAATTTATTTTATTTTATTTTAATTTATTTTACTTTATTTTAGTTCTATTTATTTTATTTTTATTTTTTTATTTAGATAATGTTACTTGACGCCGATTTATGTAATTACACAATTTCCAATATCTAACTTACCAATAATATCCTGTTGAGAATCATTTAATTCAGGTTTAATAGTAGTACTTTTAAGTTCAATCATTCTTTTTCTTTCTGAAAGAGATAACATTAAACCTTTAGCAATAATACATTTATTACAGATTTTTTGATTTTTTTTTTAATGTTACAACTATTCAAATGCGCATTTTAATTTAAGCTTGATCTCTTGCGTTTCTCTAGAACCAAATAATAAAGACGTGTCTACATCTCTTTTAGATAAAGTGAGATATTTAAAAAAAAATCTTTTATAGTTTATATCCAGATACTTTTAGAAATAATTTTATTTTAAATAATATGATGCCGTTAATAGGTGTATCTACAGTGTTACACATAAAATACGAATTACATGGGATTGTTATCTCTAAATGGTATCGGTAAATTTTGAGTTGGCCATCATTTGTTGCTTGACAAATAATAACGATTGACAAGCAAATGCTTAATCACATGACTTTTTGTAAATGTAAAAAATTGACATATTTTCGTAAAACTAACAAAAATGGCACTATTTTGAAATTTTAAAATTGGTTATTTTTTATTTTTTACGGGTATGCCAATTTTTTTAGCTTTTTTTATTTTTCCACCAGTTAATTTTTAGCAGACCTTTATAAAATATTTTTTTATGTGAAGTGCTCCTTTTATGTGTATTTTTATTTTTAAATGTTGCTCACATATTGTAATTTTGTCACTTTATTTGCTAATATTCCACATTTGTACTTATTAAATAAATTTTGCATCAAATTTGATGAAATTGTATAGCTATATCTTTTAGTTTCCTTAAAAAATATATATTTCAGACAACATTTAGTTACAAAAATATAATTAAAATGAACGTTTCATTTAAAAATATTATTTTGTATAGATTTACTTGAATTCCTGTCGCCCAAAATTGAATTTGTAGAAAAAAATAAAATGTGGGTGGCATATGGGTAAAAAATTAAAAAATAAGCAACTTTTTCTTTGGGCATTTCTCGATATTTTGAAAAATAATGTTATTTTTTGCAATATTTAGAAAAAATGTCAATTTTGACATTTGCAAAAGTCACTAGATTGACCATTTGCATGTTATTCGTTATCATTTTTGAAGCAACAAAACGGTGGAACGATCAAAATTCATCTACAGTATTTAGAAAAGAAAATCCCATATGATGCGCACTTTATGTGTTACACTGTATATAAAATATTGACTTAAGTTTATGTCAAATAAATAATTATTTTAATCTTAACTTACCACCTGTTGCGAGAATGTCAGCTTTGTACCACTTCCCATCTTGTGGCCATTTTACCAAAGTTTCGCTTTTAGAGATGGTAATTCTTGTAGGCGGGCATACATAAATAATGCCGTCATCTTCAAATCGTACTAGATGCCACATATCTTGAAAATATATACATAATTTAAGAATTATGCAACTTGACTTTAAAAAGATATAGATCATACCGAGTTTACTAATAAAACTTAATAAAATATCTTAATAAAATTAATATATTTGGATGCGTGAAATACCTAAATAAAAAAAGTGTGTGCTTAAGACCGCACGACAGAAATGAAAACTTTTACATGAAATGATTTTAAAATAAATGTAAACAGTAATAGTCATATTTTTAATTTTCCGTATTTTTTCAAAAAAAAAAAAAAAATAGAATTTGACCAGAATTTGAACCCGGGTCATAAGACTGAAAGGCAAATGCTGACTGAAAGGCAAATTATTATTATTTACATAGAGAATATTGCCAAATTAAATTTTTCTTTGAATTTTAAATAGCAGTTGTGTCAAATATATGTATTAGTATTATAACCAGCCGAATTTTAAGTAAATTTTAAAAGTGGTTTAAAGAATGAAGAAAAATAATACAAACTAAAAATGCAGCTTTTATGCACGGTGTCCCAAAAAAGTAGGCTAATCGTTAACCATAGATTCCTTAGAGCAGTGTGAGACACTTTATTATTTTTTTCGCTTCATGTTCAATATACAGGGTGAAAAAGTAAATTTTTTAAAATACGTTTGTTATTAGAATATGGCTTAAAATTGGTACACCAGAGTTTTTTGGGATGACAAATCATTATTTGAGCCCGATTGTTATCTACCTCATAGAGGGCGCTAGTTGCAAGAGATTTATTATCTTTAACCCCCACTAAATTTTCCCGCCAATGGTGATTACGTAATATCAATTTGTATTACATTTTCTTATTCTACGTTTTTTCTGTTTCTTTACTAAATTACATTTTCAAAATGATTTTCCTCAAGATTAACACACTTACGTGCTCTTTTGATCGAAAACCGGAGGTTTTGAAAAACATTTAGTTTTAAACGAAATTAATCTGCAACCTGCAAAATTCTCTCTCTTTAATGTGCAATATGGGAATCATGTAAACCAAGTTTTTTATAGCATTCTAGAATACAAAGTCACGTAGATTATTATTTGGAGATCGAGATGGCCAGTGAAAGGTGCGTTCTGACCCTTGCCAATCCAACGGTTCGGAAAAACTTCGTTTATATGATTACCCATAATTCGCGCGAAATGTAAGGCATAAATTATGATTTGTCATCCTAATAAAACCCGGTTTACTAATATAAAGCCAACTACCTCATAAAACGACGTAAATATAGTGAAAAACGTATTTTTTTAAATTAACTTTGTCACCCTGTACATGATGGCACCAATCGATAAAAATAATAATAGAAGTTTCATACACTGACCTAAGGAATCTTTGGTTAACGGATTGGCTTAATTTTTTGGAACACTCTGTATAGAACGGTAAGTTACCTACCTATTTAATAAAAATAAAAAAGTTACTAATAAAATACGTACCTTTTAATTTATTAGTAACGAATCGACACCAACAAAACTTATGAACTATTAAACTATCTAATAGCGGCACTAAACGACAATAATTAGAAAACTTGCGACTGTCTAGCAACGCGTTTCAAATGACTACTGCAAACCTGCGAACTGCAAAATGCATTTGTTTTAAATTTTAAACAAAGAAGCATTATATATTTGGATCCTTTTCCATCATTTTGTTAACGTTAGATACATATATCACCTATCGGTCTATCGGTCCTCATAACGTCCATCCAGATTATATTTCGAAAGCATACACTATATTTTCTTAGTAAAGTTTTGATTGCTACTGTTTCGGAGAGAAAGAGTTAATGAGAGAGACAAAACTTCCTTACTAGGACTCTATATTATCTTCTAAAGGTGGTTCTAGAAGTTTATTTAAATATTCAGATTATGGATATTTAAAAAGCTACTCCTTCATTAGCAGAATTGTCTAGATATTGCAGGCAAATGCAGAATTCACAGTCAGTTACGTAATATAGTACATATTGATTCAGTAATTTATTTAATTATGTATGTAAGTATGTAAGTAACACCTGAGTGCCAGCAACAATTATGTGTAGGAAGAATTTTTTACAATTCCGTATCTGAAGGGTAACCAACAGGACCCTATTACTAATCCTCCGCTGTCCGTCTGTCAGCAGGCTGTATCATGATCCGTACTTGGTAGACAGTTGACATTTTTACAAAATGTATGTATTTTCGTTGCGGCTATAACAACAAATGATAAAAAGAAAAATAAATTAAAAATTAAAGAGGGCTTCCCTACTAGAAACGTGTTTTTTCACTTGTTTCTTTAAGAAAAGTATTTAAAAAATACCTACATAGTATCTATCCGTAAGGAGGGGTAGGGTGGGCTTACTTACAGTACTCATGCATCATTAGGCCCATTGTGCATCCTCCCTAGATACTCGAAACTTGTACGATGGTGCGGAACCCTTCATGCCCGAGTCCGACTTTATTCTATATCTATAGGAAATACCTGTTTGTGAGATTTTGGTAATTATACGGTTAAATAAAGAAAGTCGTACATAATCGGCTAGTGGATTACAACCTGTTAAACAAACACGTAAAAACAGGTAGTAATCTTTAAATCATGTGTTTTTTAAACTACATGTTTCTAGACTAAACTTCGGAATATTATTTAATGGTGACTATATGTAAATGAATTAACCCTAATAAACACTTTTGTAAATTTTCAAAAATTATTTACAATTATTTTAGATTTCTGATTTTTCGAATTTTGATTTGCGATTTCTCGATTTTCTAACTTCACATTTTCACATTTAGGTTTACGGCACTTAACATACATTAAAAACTTAACTCACAAAAAATATGGGCTTAGAATACGTAATGTATTTTCTTTATAGAACGATGCTGCATAAAGGTATTTGAAAATTTGTGATTAATTCTGACCGCCGCGCCGCTCGCCGAGATTAAATTGGTACATCAAATAACCAACTAAAAATTCTAACAGTTAATGTCGGCGATGGTCTAATAGTTAAGGCATTTGCCCGGCAAGCATGGATGTCTGGGTTCAAATCCCAGCGACGACAGGATTTTTTCTCAAATTTTCAAATATATGATTTTCATCTTTGGGGCTCGGGAATGGTCTTGATAATCCATAGGGGGCTTTTTTAAATTCATTTGAGAATTTTTAAAAATTATTTACTTTTATAAAATATTGTTAGTGCAAATTAAATCATTGTAATAAATCTTACTTGCAAAAATGCAAAAGTAAATTACACCAAGTTTTCTGTCAATGGCTTTTTCAATTTCATTTAAAGTTCTAATATTAGGGCATATGATACAACTTTATGTCATTTGTCACCTATTGAGAGTAGGTAATTTTAATTTTAATCGCTGTGTTAAAAAATAATCCATTAGTGTTCAATATTTTATTTTAATGAAAAGCCAGGTATGCATAAATAGGGAGTTTTAAAAAGTTATTCACATGATTGGAAACGCAAATGAATAGAGATTCCATAAAAATATAGTTTCACGAGAAACAGAAATTCACTTTACTTCTGCTGCAACACATAGAACAGCCTCAATAGGTCTTAAATTGTATAAATTATATACACAATACACACACTTCTATAGTCCTCGGATAGATGGTTCAAATTGTATAAATTATACACGTAACACACACACTTTGATAGTCCTCGGAAAGACGGTTCAAATTGTATAAATTATACACACAACACACACACTTTCATAGTCCTCGGAAAAATGGTTCCGTCAGACAAATACACACAAATATAATCTTTTCAGCGCCCTCTACGATACACTTAATTAAATCGCGAGTACTAAAAATCCGAAGCTCACATACGTTGAGAGAACTTCATAAAAATCAATGACAAAGGTACCTATTGAATGGTCTCTCATCGTAGAACACGTTTTTAGGCTTAAAACTTTCCGAGGACTGAAAACAAGTCCTCGGAAAAAAAAATGTCCTCGCAGCGCTGATGAGGATTTGGTGTGTGTCCTCGTTTTGTAGCAAAAGTCCACACATACACATACACATACACATACACATACACATACACATACACATACACATACACATACACATACACGTACACGTACACGTACACGTACACGTACACGTACACGTACACGTACACGTACACGTACACGTACACGTACACGTACACGTACACGTACACGTACACGTACACGTACACGTACACGTACACGTACACGTACACGTACACGTACACGTACACGTACACGTACACGTACACGTACACGTACACGTACACGTACACGTACACGTACACGTACACGTACACGTACACGTACACGTACACGTACACGTACACGTACACGTACACGTACACGTACACGTACACGTACACGTACACGTACACGTACACGTACACGTACACGTACACGTACACGTACACGTACACGTACACGTACACGTACACGTACACGTACACGTACACGTACACGTACACGTACACGTACACGTACACATACACATACACATACACATACACATACACATACACATACACACATACACATACACTGTAATGATATCTCACAATACCTTTTTTTATTTTTATTTTAATTTAAATTATAATATTAATTTACCTCGGCTTTCCACTTTATCTTTTAATTTGACTCAAAAATGCTCTTATCTCAGGGGTGTTTCAAGTTACGATATTAATACTTTTTTTAATTTTAATTTGTTTAAGTTAATTTAATTTATTTCAATTTTAGTTTTGATTTTAATTTAATTTTATTTTACTTTTATTTTAATTTTATTTTTAATTTTATTTTATCAAAATCAACAATATAACAAAAAATGAAACTTATGAGTTGATTTAATCTTTGTACCCTGTATTTTGTAAATTATATGTTTAAATAAACAAACCTTTCTAAAGATAAACTTGTTTAATTTACAGAAATCATTATGGAACAATCTAACAAATTTTAGATATTCTAATATCCTTTTAAAATTATATATAACTAATACTACCCTACTACACCTACTGAAGTACAACTCTGTTCAAATTAC